TCCCTCTTCCATTTTGATATTGTATAAGTGACTTGGCCAATTTACCTAATTTCTTGGTAGCTCATTAGAATTTGAAGAATATTGCTCTGTTTTTACTGGTTATTGGTTTTCTGTGACCTTGGGGAACTTTAATGCACATAGTGGTACAGATATGAGACTTTCTTATCACAGCTTTGTAGTATCCGCTAAAAGCTTTTATGTCTCCCTTAAATTGTCTCTGCTTTCAAAAATAAACATTCAAAAGCTACTGATAGGCAAGGTTTCAATTCCAGTTATAATGGAGTAAGCACACTCCATCCTTTCTTTCACACTGAATGCAGCCAAAAAACACTAGGCAGAATATATGGATCAGCTATTTGAGGAATGAAAAGCAAATGGTAGCAGGCAGATGGAGGAAGGAAACCAAAATGCAAGGTATGACAGATCCAGTCCGGAGTTTCCTGTTTCATTTTGTTCTTTTCGTTCTCTTTCTTTCTTTTTTTTTTTTTCTCCACTCACATCTCCTGCCTGGACTCAAAGGCAGTGCACATCCCAGAACTGCCCTCTGGGTGCAGACAGCTCTAAGGGAATTCCTCTCTTTCCGGCCAAAGGAGAGGAAAGGAAGCCACACCAGGACAGAGACTGGGAGAAATCCTACCAATTTCTATGCAAACCCTGTTAATATTTAATAGGTTACATTCTAGACTTTTTCTTTGCATCATTTTTCTATAAACACAGTTATACCAAACAGTATGTTTCCTGTTTTTTTTCTCTCAATAAAGGAATATGTTTACAATCTAAACTTACTATGCAATCACTGTAAACTTATTTTTTTTTTTTTTTTTTTTTTTTTTTTGAGACGGAGTTTCGCTCTTGTTACCCAGGCTGGAGTGCAATGGCGCGATCTCGGCTCACCGCAACCTCCGCCTCCTGGGTTCAGGCAATTCTCCTGCCTCAGCCTCCTGAGTAGCTGGGATTACAGGCACGTGCCACCATGCCCAGCTAATTTTTTGTATTTTTAGTAGAGACGGGGTTTCACCATGTTGACCAGGATGGTCTCGATCTCTCGACCTCGTGATCCACCCGCCTCGGCCTCCCAAAGTGCTGGGATTACATGTAAACTTATTTTTAAATAATTTGTTAAGCAGCTGTAGCCTGGTTCAGGGCTTCTCAAATCTTAATGTGCATTTAAATTACCATAGATTCTAGTTCACTGGTCTAGCTTAGGACCTGAGAATGCATTTACAGCAGGCTTCCCATCTTGCCAGTACTGTCCCCTGACAGACCAGGTTTTGATTAGTTATTTAACAGTTCCCATTTAGGTTGTTTCCAGTTTGTTGCCTTTTTTTTTTTTTTTTAGAGACAAGGTCTCACTCTGTTATCAGGCTGGAGTGCGGTGGTATGATTATAGCTCACTGTAGCCTTGAACTCCTAGATTCAAAGAATTCTCCCCAAGTAGCTGGGAGTACAGGCACATGCAACCACACCTGGCTTACTTTTAAATTTTTTGTAGAGAGAAAGTCTTGCTATGTTGCCCAGGCTGGTCTCAACTCCGGGCTTCAGGCGACCTTCCCAAAGTGTTGAGATTATAGAAATGAGACGTCCTACTCAGCCTGTTGCTTTCGTAATTAGTGTTACAGTGGGATATGTTTGCACATAGAGCATTTCTTCATATTTGATATCATTTCTTTGTGGTAGACTCCTGGAAGCAATGTAACTGAGTCAGAGGTTATGACTATTTAAATTCCTGGTAAACTATTGATTATTTTCTCAGAAGCTTTGCCAATGATAATACATATATTCTTCCCAAATTGTAGAAAAAGAAATCGAGGCTTAGAGTGGTTCAGCTATATGATGTCACAGAGCAAATCATTCGAAGAGCTGTGACTTTACTCCTAGGTATCTGTTTCATGGCCTGCTCTTCCCTGCACTGCTTTGGAGACAGCCACTGCTTCCCCCTCATCCCCTCCATTTAAACAAGCCTCACTGTCCTTGTTGTACTAGCTCACTCTTTTTTTCTTTTAAGATTTGCTAATTCAACATGAGAAAAGGAGCTGCTGTTATGTAAATTTTTATTTCTATTTGATTGACAGAGTTTATGTCCCTATCTGGTCACATCCTTTATCCTTTGATAAAGTTTTGTTTCCTAAGTTGGTCTTACTTTACTTAATTTTTCTGTGCTGGGTAAAGAATACAGGTATCAACTTGTTTCTGCTGCAATTGTTTTGTGATTTGTCTTGTATTTTGCTTTTTTAAAACATAATTTAAATTTTTATCTTTTTCTGTTTCCCACTAAGCTTTAAGAGGCTTTCCCTTTGCAGAAGGTTGATAAACATAGGAAGATATTTTTAAAAGGAAATTTAGGAGCTACCTGTAAGAAATACAGCATTAAATTTTTGCTGTTTTCCTCAGTGCCATGTTTACTTCCTAATTTCTCCCTTCTGCCCAAACACATAGTTTCTCCCCAAAGATTTTCTTGCTCAAATTAGAGGAAAAATTACAGGTGATGCTGCCCTGAGAATGTGATTTATCATTTTTAAAACAGAGGGAGTTTTAGGAGGACATTATGAAATAATGTAAAATGAAGAAATACCCATGCTTTTTTTTGCCATAATTTTCTTCTGCATCTTATCCATTGTTAAAACAGAACCAGACTAAACTTTTAATTTGAAACTTTAAAAAAATTTTTATCATGTTTATAAAGGCATGCAATTTAAAAAGCAAAATGGTTCTATACAACTTGATATGAAAAAGTAGTCTCCTGGTCCTGACTCCAACGGCGCCTTTTCCTGTTCTCCTTCAGTTCTTTTAGCTGAACCTTGTGGTATTTGTCTCTACGTCTGTCACTCTTTTTTTCATAGTTCTTAATGTGTTTACTCTTGTGTCTCTACGTGATATGAGATACTGTTACTCTGTAATTTTTGAATATAGGCTTTCTCTGTTACTAACTTCTGCTGTAGAAGGCGAGGCTTTAGTGTCCTTCTGTGACTCCTCCCTAATGATCCCTACCCCGCAAACCCCATCACCACTATACACTTTCAGACTTCCTGTCCTGTCTTTGCTGTGCAGTTATTTGTCCTTTGTTTAGCTCAATATGCAGTGTTTACATTATTACAGTTCCGTAAATGCCATTCATAGCCAAGTCATGTAGTTTCCCATAATGATTTTTCTTCTCTGCACAATATTTTGTTCCCTGTAGAGATAGTTTTGGTTTTTTGCTTTAGTAGTTTTCTTTGTACTTGCTCACCCCAAAGTTACGAAACTCCTCTCGAGATAGCCAGAGGCATTGGGTACTCTGCTGGTTTCATCTCCTTGATGACATCTCTCCAGAGCATTCTGGCTGTTTGCTTTCCAGACCAAACTTGTGAGTTTCTGCACAGTCCTTCATCTCTCCTCCCTTGGCAACCTAGTGACTCCTGTTTCTTCTTTTCTCCATGTTTACTCCCTTGCTTTGGAGACTGTATCCTCTGTGATTCCTGGAAAAGAGTATATAAGTGGTAAATATTTTAAAATGGTGTATGTATGTAAAAGGTTTTAACTTATCCTTAAGTTTATGATTAGTGGTAACATGACTGGGTACAGAATTATAAGTGGGAAATTGTTTTCCCAAGGCATTTTCTCAAAGCTTTCTGTTTTTCTGTGTTGCTTTAGAAAAGTCTTATTCTAATGATCCTTCATATAAAGCTTGTTTTTGATCTCTGGAGGTTTTAGAGTCTCTTCTTAGTCCCCATATGCTGAAATCCCATGACAGTGAGCATTGATATGTAGGTCTGTTTTCTTCCATTAAATTGGGCATTCAGTGGTCTCTTTGGATTTGGAAATTTATATCTTCTGTGTGGTGTCTTCAACCTGCCATTCTTTTTGTTTCTTTTAATTTCCCACACTTCACTGATGTATCATCCTTCCATCCTTAATCAGAAGTCTTGATAATTTTTTTTTTTTTGAGACAGTTTTGCTCTTGTCACCCAGGCTGGAGTGCAGTGGTGCAATCTCAGCTCACTGCAACCTCCTTCTCCCGGGTTCAAGCGATTCTCCTGCCTCAGCCTCCTAAGTAGCTGGGATTATAGGCACCAGCCACTGTGCCTGGCTAATTTTCGTAATTTTAGTAGAGACGAGGTTTCATCATGTTGGCCAGGCTGGTCTCAAACTCCTGACCTCAGGTGATTCACCACGTTGGCCTCCCAAAGTGCTGAGATTACAGGCATAAGCCACAGTGCCAGGCCTTGATAATTTTTTAAAAGGAAATTGTAATAAAACATGCTTCCCAAAGCTGTATTCTTATCAGTTCAATATTGAAAAAGGATCATGATAATTAAATTGGCCAAACAGAATTTAAAAGAGTACTGACAAGCATAAAATATAGGCAGTCACACATTTTACTTGACAGAGCAAATAAAGGTTGCAATGAATGAGTCATGCAAGCCATTTATCACTCTAGTGTTCAGACTTGTGTCATAGACAGGTAAATTAATTTATCATCTGAAAAATCCAGTGCTACCCACATAATTTGAGAAGATTAAAGGCACATCCCTTGTTTCAGTATGGTCCCTGAACATCCATATACCAAAAATATTCATATGTTTGACTACCTCAACCTTCAACTGCTTTAGCCAAGTTAATAGGACAGTTGTCTCCTAGGCCAACCATGGTAAAAATACATCTTTAAATTTTTCCTAGACTATAGATTTAAATTTTCTTTTCCCCAAATGATAGTTATACTAAAGCAATTAGTCAGATAGAAGTAGTGTTTCTCTATCATTGTAATTTTTTAAAAACTGGGTACTGACATGTGTTTTAAAAAGTGCTAACTTTGAAAAATTCTAAAGCCACATGATTCATCTGTAGGACCTTCCCCGCCACACACACACACAAAGGCTGCTCTTCGAATGGTAAATGTTGAGTGGGCAAACTTCATGGTGGAGATTTTATGTGTCTTAATATAAGCTTGATTCTGGATATGAATAGTAATCTTAGCACACTTTCATGTGGGCTTGTAATGAATCTTCTTTTTTTTCTGCCAGCTTTTTGGAGACTGGGAAGCCCAGCTGCGGAGAATAATGAAACTCATTGCTGGAGGTGGCTTGTCTATCACTGGCTCTCACAACATGTGTGGGGACTATCTGTACAGCGGACACACGGTCATGCTAACACTCACCTACTTATTTATCAAAGAGTGTAAGTCTAAAACAGACCTCCATTATAATTTCCTCACCTGCCATTTCTCATGCTCACTGATCCTATGGTGAAGCATGTTTTCTGGAAAATCTGCTGAAGTAAGACTGGAGGCTTCAGGAGAGTCGCAGCTTCATCTCAGCGCCGTGCATCTGGCACGCAGGGAAATATGTGGAAGGACAGAACTGGTCTTCCTGAGGAGAAGGTGTCCTGGAGTGTCAGCTGTAGTACTCGGGTAGAGGCAGTTCCAAGTACAGCCTGCAGGGTGTGTTATGAGCCAGTTATACAGCTGCTGTAAGGAGCCAAACGGAAATCTCAAAGGGACACAGAAATCCAGGATCAAGCCTGACTGGGTGATGGTAGATCACGTATTGATGCAGCAGCCATTTTATCCGCACTTGGCACTATGCTACGTGCCTGAGGGTACAGTAATGGGTCAGACTCATCCCTGTCCTCAGTAAGACAATAGGCTCAGGGCTGAGGCAGATATTAAATGGGAAATTTCCCTTAAGAAAGGTACTTAAAAATATTTTATTGTGAAATTACAAAATAATATCATAGATACCCCATATATGGCTCAGATTTAATATATATTAGCATTTTTCATATTTAATTCAGATAACCCTTTTAGAAAGGAAATGAAATGTTAGTATAATTAGTGACAGGCACTTCAAGACATTAATAAAGAGAGTCAGCAGATAGCAAGTTGGATTATGGGGTACAGAAAACAGGTGGTAGACTAGGCTAAAGCCCAGTTTTGTTCTTGAAAAACTAAGATAAGGAAATACAGGCAGAGAAGAGAATGTGCTTCAGGGCACAGATAGAAAAGAGAGATTAGATATTCCTATGCTTATACTTACTATGTGAGCAGTATAGTGAATTCTAGCAAGGTCTATTAAGAATTTTCAGGGTATAATCTAGCCCTTTTAATGGGATGTAACTGGATGTGGACCATGAGAACCACATAGACCAGATGTCAGCAACCATGGGGGAGGGATTCCTGGGTCCTGCTGCCTGATACCTGAAATTCTTTAATAGGGTCAAGGCTTTTCCATCTTGACAATAAGGCAATGTGTCATATTGAGAGGTAGAGGCCTTGGTACTATCACTTACTAGCTTTATGACCCTGGGAGGAAACTTTAACCTCTCTAAGTCTTAGTTTCCTCATCTTTAGAATAAGATAGTCACATCTACTTCATGGGATGGGAAAAAGTTTATGAAAATTAAACTAGATGGCATGCATGGATACCAATGGAGTCACATAGAGATTGAGTGGTAGCTGCTACCTGTTTTTGTATTGTCAAGGTATCAAATACAAATATTACTAGAATATTCCTACCCTTACTGCTCCATTTAAAATTGCAAACTGCCCTTCACTCCCTATACTTCTGATCCCCCCTTATCCAGCTCAACTTTCTTATTTTTCCAGTCTTTAACACCTAACATAATGTGTAAATTACTTAGTTGTTATAAGTATTGTCTCTTATCTCTTTTCCCCACTAGGAAGTGATCTCCCCACAAAGGCACACTCCTTGCCTTTTTTGTTCATTGATCCAGGTACCTGGAACATTGCTTGTCCTTGGCATGTAAGAGGCTCAGTGAATATCAGTTAAATGAAAGACTGGTTCTTGGACCCCTTAAGAATCCAGTAAAAGCCTGAACCTCCCCTGCTGGTGTGGAGAGGGTAGATCATATTCAAACAACATTTTGCCTAACATTGCAGAGGCTCTGAATCCCACAAGTTGAGAATGTAATATAGAAAGGCCTACACTAACAGAGATTTTAATGTTTTTCTCAGGTGGTTTCTCAAATGGGGGGCAGGCACGTATTTATCTGATACCATTCTACCTTTGAGAAGGCACTTAAACTAGAATCCCCAGGCATCTGGATGCTTTTTGCTTGTATTTGAGAAATGAAAATCTCAAAGACTTTCAGATTAGCGTGTGGTTGCAGAACTTGGAAAGCAGTACAGTCAAATCAATTATGACTGCTTAGTCCTATGGACCAAAAGGTATTGATTTTTGTATAAAGCATCAACCCCAAATTAGCTAGAGGTAAATTTAAATGTCAATGGATGGTTTTTTTAAAATAAAGCATGATGGATTAGCCTGTCCTTATTTGATTAGACTCATCTTTTAAACTCTATTTATGATTATATGAATCAAGAACCAAATATGAATTACTATCATTAGTATAATCACATTATAAAAGGCTATTTCTATTCTAAACTTGGTTACCATTAAATGAAAGCCCTTAGATTCAGTAGATCTGTTTTCAAAAGGAAAGACTCAAGGTAATTGGATTCAGAAGTAGTAGCAGAAGCATCGCTGGGTACCCTTAATGTCATTTGAATAATGGGACTAACGCAAATCTTTTCACCTTTCAGATTCCCCTCGACGTCTCTGGTGGTATCACTGGATTTGCTGGCTTCTCAGCGTAGTTGGAATCTTCTGTATTCTCTTAGCGCATGACCACTACACTGTGGACGTGGTGGTGGCATATTACATCACCACGAGACTCTTCTGGTGGTATCACACTATGGCCAATCAGCAAGTGAGTTTCCCCCTTTTTGATTTTAGCTTCTATTGCTTCTGGCTTGGTGTTGCTGGCTTGGGCAGGGTGCAAAGAATCCATGGATGTCTCAAGTTTCTCTTTCTTAAGAGATTGTATGGTCTTGTGACATCTATCCTCTTCAGAATAAAGAATAAAAAGTTTATTAATATAATGATTTAAGGAATTACTTCTGTCTAGAACAAGTATCACACTTTCACTGTCCATGAAAAATGAAAAATATTTTCTAAGCCTGTGTCCCTCCTTGCTTGATTCATTTTCCTACCCTCTTCTCTACCCAAGCCCATCACAAGCTTAATACTTAACATTTAATTAAGCGTTAACATTTTTAGCATAGAAGAGGAATACCTTAAAAGCTAATTGAGACAAGAGATGAGTGAGCCATAAGTTCTCCTTGCTGTCTCTGAATTGGGGTGTTTTTTTTACTGAGATGTGGCTCAGTTTGTAGTTGAGTGTAGAGCAGTGTATGGTGATGAGAGAGAGAAGCTGAGATATGTGGGTGGATGTAGGGCAGGTCTGGGGTCCTTTGGGAATTTTAGCATGGCAAATATTTGAACTAAAAGTGAAAGATTGTGAGAAAAGTATTTATGTTTCTTTGTTATCCTAGGTGCTAAAGGAAGCTTCCCAGATGAACCTCCTGGCCAGGGTGTGGTGGTACAGGCCATTTCAGTACTTTGAAAAGAATGTCCAAGGAATTGTACCTCGATCTTACCATTGGCCTTTTCCCTGGCCGGTAGTCCACCTCAGTAGGCAAGTTAAATACAGCCGGTTGGTGAATGACACATAACAGCTGTACAAAGTGGGGAAAAGACAAATTGTCCGAAGTGCTAAGAACTCCGTGAGAGAAGATGCCATAAAATAAACACCTCCCTAATCCTATTATCTTTCAATGGTTACCTAGACATAACCTATTGAGTTACCTGGTCAGCACTGTGATCTTTTTTTCTCTCCAAAGGACCTGCGTTGGACAACAATAAAGAAAAATTTAACCTATCATGCACTGTACACATTTCCTGTTCATAAGTTTGGGATTTACATAACCCGCAACCACCATGTTCCTTTGTATATGATGCAACAGCATAAATGTAAGCTTTTATATCATAAGTTCTGGTCTTTCCAGTCACATCTGGAAATAAAGCGTATTATTTTCTTGGGAAAACATACTTTTCATATCTCTTGCCCCAAAGATTGGGCTGTAAGCCATTTTCTAGCAAATGTCTCTATGAAGGTTTCTAAGTACCTGAATGGGGTTTGATTCTGAAATCTTTCTACCTGTTGCACCGATATTCAAATAAAAATGATAGACACAGAAAGGTTTGGTAACTTTGGGTTTTGTAAAATCACAAAGACAGTGTTTCAAAAAGTGCAAAAAAAAAAAAAAAGATTCTGTTATAAAGTGATTTTCTAAGTATTTCCTAACTTTATTTTTCAAAATGATGTTATGAAAACCAAATTTAAAGATTTTTAAAATGTCAGAGAGAAGAGAGTTAAAATTTAAAAATGCATCTTGGGAGAGAAATTTGTCTATGTTTCTAGTGCCTTTCTTGTCTTGATTGTATGGTCAGTAGGCAATCTTAAATGTTTTTATTTAAAATAAAGTATTCCATGAAAATATAAATGTATGTGTATACTACTAAATTTTGCATTTACAGCTAAATTAAATCAGATGACTGCTTATGGTTTTAAAATTGAAATGACTTAAATAATGAGGTTGTTAATTAGAATCAGAGCCTGTTCACATATTGTGATCAGGTAGAATGACATGTACCATTTAAATTATTTTACCATCTATTTGGTAGTTTGATTTTAACTACTCAATGAAAACAGCCATGAATATTTTTTTTAAAGAGAGTTTTGAAAATGATCATTTACCTAAAACTTGAAAGCTATGAATTAATTATCCATACTCTCATGACAGTTTTGTTGGTGAACAACAAATAAAGAGATCTATTTCTTTAAAAGATATTTGTGCAGAAACTGCATGTAACTCTAAGTTTTACTCCTAACATACGTATGTTTGGGGAAGTATTCTATTCTATACTTGCCAATGTGGAGAACAAAATAATTTTTTAAGAATGAAGAAGTATATATATCCATTCTGTATTTTACGTGCAGCAGAATTATCTTCCGTAGGATTTTTTTGTGTATTCACAAGGTGATATTTGTATTGTAAAACAATAATGGTGAAGGAAATTAAAAGGCTTTTAAAATTTTGTTTGTTTTAAATCTTTGTAAAGTTATTATTCCAGAGAGTATACTGGTATCTTACAGCTTACCTAGACCATAAATTAATCAAAATGCACTTTTTAATAAAAACTGATACTTAAAATAAATGGCTGTTATTTCTACTGTGTTCACATTCTTCACAGAAGTCATAAGTGAAGTCATTAAAGCAAGATAGAAAGTCAGTTTCAGAATTTCTTCATGGAGTGTGTCTGACATGGGACTTTTATTAATTATCTGGATTGTTTTTCTTGGGATTCCTTAAAATATATTCTAATCTTCAGTAAATGCTGTGGAGTTTTTTTAATATATGAAAGAATCACATATAAGTTAAATTCAAACTTTAGACCAATGTTTACTAACATTTTGAATTCTCTAATTCTCAACCAAGTTGGGTCTTTGTTTCCTATAACTGGCAGTAATATAGCTTCTCCAGTGTAGATGGAAAAGAAAAGTAAATCCAAAGTGAGAAACAGAATGATAGTACTTTGATAACCAGTGGTAATGGAAAAGAACTCTTTAAAAAGAAAAAAAAATTATTATTTCTGGTGTGGTGACTAAAAGGAAAATGTCAACAGTGGAGATGTGTCTTTGATAAAAGATGTACAAAGGAGACTAGAAATGTAAAACCAGAGGCTGGGTGGTGGCTCATGCCTGTAATCACAGCACTTTGGAAAGCAGAGGTGGGCTGATCACTTGAACCCAGGAGTTCAAGACCAACCTGATCAATATGAAACCCTGTTTCTACAAAAAATACAAAAATTAGCCTGGCATAGTGATGCATACCTGTGGTCCCAGCCTCTCAGAAGATGGGTGGGAGGATCGCTTGAGCCTGGGAGGCAGAGGCTGCAATGAACCATGACGATGCCACTACACTGCAGCCCCAGCAAAGAGTGAGACTGTATCTCAGAAAGAAAAAAAAAAAAAAGGAATTTAAAACCAGCAAAACTTTCCTGTGTGGGGCTTTGAACTTGTGTGTCAGAGAAAATGCGGTGGCCTCTTTAGGCAAATAGAACCAAACTCTCAGATAGTTCTGTATTTAACTGCTACAGCCTTTCCCCTAACTTTGAGTACTGGTTGCTGCCATGTTGAAGGGAAAGTAAGTTGAGTAAGTGGAAATAATTTATTGGCACTTGCTAAAAATAGGATTATTTTCCCTAAAAAAGCAGAAATAATTATATAAAACTTTGTTGTTGTGAGTTTACATACCATATGTATATCAAGAAATCCACTGCTGATTGTTCTTCATAGCTGACTACATTGATTCATGAATTGACATATCTTCTGGGTCTCTAGTGTGCAAATTCCAGGAAGGACAAGGAGAAATCTCATTGTGTTCTAGAGAATTATAGTACACTTGGTAAGTATTGCTTGAATGAGGACACATGCTTTCTCAATGGCTTTTTTTTGGGGGGGGCGGCGCTCACTTAACAGGTTAGGCGTTTTACACGTATCAATTAACCCTCACACAACCACAAAGTGTAACTATTATTCCCATTTTACAGATAGATCAACCCAAGTGACTCAGATATATTAAATAACTTGCCCTAGGGCATGCAACTGGTAACTGGTAAAAATCCTGTTGGAACCCAAGTTTCCACCCTCCCCCACCAATGCTGTGAGCTTTCTACAAACTTAAGAGTCTGCAGTAAGAGAAACCTATGCCTGTGGTGGTAAAGCATACTCTTACTATGGAATGAGTAGCAAGAAGTTTACACCATAGGTGTGAGAAAAGAATTTGATGGATTGTTTCATGTTTTATTTGTATCCCAAGCATATGCCAAATTTGGATCAATTTGATAAATATCTCATAATAAATACCACATACAATGGAAATGTATGCCAACCTTAATTTGACCACCAATATACCAAAAGTTAACCAGATTTCTGAATTTACTAGAAAACAATATGCTGCTTGGATCACAAGATACTGACATCCTTTATTTTTTTTCTTCCAGTAGTCAAGAAACAATTTGAACAAGTCAAAGCTGTTGACTAGGCATTCTGCTTATCAGCACCTTAAAATACTTACCTGTCTCTTAGTTTACAGTACAAGTCATAAGGAAATTACATGACCTTTCAGATTTAAAGTGATAGTTGATATAATTGAATGAATATCTAGCATGTTTGTAACTTTTTTCTGTTTGTTGCATTTGTCCACTCTTTATCCTCTTCTTTTTCTTTCTCTAGTTTTGAACAATTTATGATTCTATTTTATCTCTTAGCATGCCAGTTATTCTTTTATGAATTTTTAAATGGTTGCCCTGGAGTTCACAATATAAACTTTTTTTCGAATATAAGCCTGCCTTCAAGTGTAGTGTAGGCATTTTATAACCACACATTCCCAGTTTCTCATTTCTACCCTTAGAACATTGCTGTTATTCATTTCACTTATCCATATGGTATAATCACTCAATACGTTATTACATTTATTACTTTGGACAATCAATTACCTCACAGATCAATTAAGAAAAATTAAGGATTATGTTCATTTTCACTTATTTATTCTCTGATGCTCTTCTTATGTAATTCAAGCTTCTAACTGACATCATTTCATTTTGCCTGAAGAACTTCCCATTTGTTGCAGGGCAGGTTGGCTTGCTTTTTTTCTTTCAAAACTTTAAATATTTCACTCCAATTTCTTCTGGCTTACCTCGTTTCTCACAAGAAGTCTGCCATAATTTTATTCTTTTCTTCTATAGGTAAAATGTTTTTTCTTTTGGCTTTCAAAAATGTATCTTTGTCTTTGCCTTCCTGCTGATTTAATATGAAATGTGTAGGTGTAGTTTTTTTGTTTTTGGTATTTATTTTTGGTGTTCTCTGAGCTTGCTGGATCTGTGGTTTGGTGTCTGTCATTAATTTTGAAAAGTTGTCAGCCATTCTTTCTTCTCCGTTTTCCCTTTGTTTTGGTTTCTGATACTCCCATTGTGATATGTTACACATTTTGAAATTGTTCCACAGTTTTTTGATGTTCTGTTTGCCCCCAGCCCTTTTTTTTTTTCGGTTTGATAGGTTTCTATTGACATATCTTCTAGCTCACTGATACTACTCTCCTTGGCCATGTTTGTTCTAATGATGAGCCCATCAAAGGCATTCATTCTTCCTTTCTGTTACAGTGTTGACTATCTCTAGCAGTTTCTTTTGGTTCTTGGCTCGAAATTCCTCTGCTTCATTTTTTGCCCTCCCTTTTGACTTGGGCTTCCCTAAGTAGTCCTTCTCAGAGAGGGTCTGTGTCTTGTATCTGTTTTAACTGTAATTCACCATTTTTCTTGTTGGAGCTCTATTGGTGTGGTGGTTAGAGGTTGGATAGGAGGAGAATTTAACAATCTGATTAAATCTCAGTTTTTAGGACTTTTTTGTTGATACATTATATGGGCTACATGTGATACTTTGTTACATGCATAGAATGAGTAACGATCAAGTCAGGGTATTTAGGATATCTGTCATCTCAAGTATTTACTATTTCTGTGTGTCGGGAACATTTCAAGTCCTCTCCTAGCTATTTTGAAATATACATTATTGTCAACCTACTAATATTAGAATTTATTTCTTCTATCTAACTGTATGTTTATACCCAATAACCAAACTGTCTTCACCCCACTTACCCTTCCCTGCCTCTGGTATCCATTTTCCTCTCTGTCTTCAAGAGATCAACTCATTTAGCTTCCAGTAATGAGTGAGAACATGCAATATTTGTATTTTTATGTCTGACTTATTTAACATAAGGGCCTCCAGTTTCATCCATTACAGCAAATGACATCATCTCATTCTTTTCTGTGGCCAACTAGTATTCCAGGGTGTATTTTTACCACATGTTCTTTATACATTTGTCCATTGATGAATACTGAGGTATGAATACACTATATTGTTGCTACTGTGAATAGTGCTCCAATAAACATGAATGCAGGAACATTTTTCATATACTGATTTCTTTTTCTTTGGATAAATATCCAGTAGTGGGATTGGTGGATCATATGGTAGTTCTATTTTTAGTTTTTTGATAAGCTTCCATACAATTTTTCACAGTGGCTCTAATTTACATTCCCACCAACTGTGTGTAAGAATTCCCTTTTCTCCACATCCTTGCCAGCATCTATATTTTGTTTGTTTGTTTTGGTTTGGTTTTGGTCTTTTTCAATAATAGTCATTCTAACTGTGGTTAGATGATTACCGATGTTGAACATTTCTTCATATATCTGTTGGCCATTGTAGGTCTTCTCCTTTGAAAAATCTCAATTCGTGTCCTTTGCCCACTTTTTAATGAAATTATTTGTTTTCTTTTACTGTTCAGTTGCTTGCATTTCTTGTATATTCTGGATGTTAGTCTCTTGTTGGATGAACAGTTTGCAAATATCTGTCTCCCATTTAGCAGGTTGTGTCTTCACTCTGTTGATTGTTTCTTTTGCTATGCAGAGCCTTTTAGTTTGATTTAGTGCCATTTGTCTATGTTTGGTTTTGTTGCCTGAGCTTTTGAGGTCTTACCTATAAAATCTTATATTTAAGTCTTTAATTCATCTTGAGTTTATTTTTGTATACAGTTAAAGGCACAGGTCTAGTTCCATTCTTCTGCATATGGATATCCAATTTTCCCAGCACCATTTACTGAAGGGGGTGTCCCTTCCCAGTGTATGTTCTTCACACATTTGTCAAAAATTAGCTGGCTGTAAATATGTGTATTTCTAGATTCTCTCTTTTGTCACATTGGTCTATGTGTCTGTTTTTATATTCGTATCATGTTGTTTTGGTTACTATATCCTTGTAATATATATTGAAGTCAGATAATATAATGCCTTCAGCTTTGTTCTTTTTGCTCAGAATTGCTTTGACTATTCAGGCTCTATTTTGATTTTATGTGAATTTTAAGGTTTTTTTTCTATTCCTGTGAAAATTGACATCGGTATTTTGGTAAGAATTACATTGAATCTGCAAATTGCTTTGAATTAATATCATTTTAATGGTTTTTGTTTTGTTTGCATCCTGTTCAATTTCCTACATCAGAGATTTGTAGATTTTCTTGTAGAGATATTTTACCTCATTAGATAAATTTATTCCTAGGGGTTTCATTTATTTTTTGTAGGTATTGTAAATGGTATTGCCTTCTCGATTTCTT